CAGCAGGTAAACCAGCGCTCCCAGCCACACCAGCACCGCCACGGCCACCGCCAGCCTCCGACAGAGACGCTTCATTTTCCGGTCAGGAGGAGCCGACGGCGCCCGCAGCCCGGCTGCTGTCAGAATCCCATGTTAGGAACCGGGATTTAAACAAAATACTAATAAAAGAAGCGGATAAAAGCAGAGGGAGCTCCTCCAGCTGAGCCGACACGAGCCCGTCCGGTCCCGCTGGCTGTTAAACACCGTGCGCGCGCGCGCTCCTTGACGCGCTCTCAACTCTCACCGGAGCTCGAGCGCTTCTGGAACACCGCCGTGTGTCCACGTGCGGTGAGGTCGGCGCGCGAGTATGGAGTGAGAGGCTGAGCGCGTTTCTCTGAGGTAGTCCTGGACCCTCCTGCAGGTTTGAGTGGGATGGAGGAGCTCCACCTGCCGACACCCACTCAGCTGCTCCGGTGCTGGGCGACATGTGAATGTCTGCGGCTGCAGGAGAACCAGGTGTGCCGCTCCGTGTGGGACCGCAGAGCGGAACATTTTCTCACGTTGCAACACAATTTAATTGTATTTTATAGGAATTATGAACGATAAACCAACAAAAAGGATAAATGTGAAATCTGGTTTGGACATTGTTTTACTATTCAGCACTCTAAAGCAGGGCCTTGAGCATAATTTGATTTGAGGCCCCCTGTTAAAGCTGCAGTATGTAATTAGTATGGATATATACTAAAATTGTCACGATGTTTAAGTCTAGACAGATAACCTGTGAAAAACATCAAGCTCCTCTGCCTTCTCCCAGTGATTTCAGTGCTAATTAGCAGAGCCAGGAGGAGGGTCTTAGCACGGTCAATCACTCATGTGTTTGTGCTGCTCACACTCGTCCCCTTGCTCTCTGCTGTGCTACAACTGGTTCACCACAGCAGGCTGTCATGAATGCTCTGGCTAGTTGCATGGCCACCGATGACGGGCGATAAACCGTTTTTCTTCAACGGTAAGTTGTTTCTCCACCATTAGCACATTTAGCAGTGCATACACAAGCATGATTGACAGCACTTAAGACCCTCCTCCTGGCTCTAATTAGTGGTTTTTCAGAGGCAATAGCAGCTCAAGCAGGAGGTAGAGAAGCAAATCATTTCAGCAAAAAGACAAAAACCCAAGCTTTAGGACATATTTATATGCATTAATCTATATTTTATGGAAGCATCACCATCAGTTTATCTTTTTCAGATGAGGCACAAATGCAGCGCATGTGTAGTGACCAGTCAGCAGTGATGTGTTTCTGAAGTTTAAAATAGATTTCACTGCTGAGTCACAGGTCAGAATATAACAGCACAACATGGCTGACATGAGGTCAAAGTGATACTGAACTTTGATCACAGAAATCTACCCAGCTCCTACTGAGAAATAAAGAAAAAACGTTTCCAGCTGCAACTAAACAGCTGGAAAGACAGGAAAAAGAAAGAGAAGAAGACAGAAAACAAAAACACAAATGGAAAACCTGAGATAGACGTGGTTAAAAGTGGTAGAACGAGGCAGAGAGAGCAGGAAGGCTTTCTGGATTTGTAGCTGCAGTCCCATTAATGTAGAGTTGGAAAAGAGAAAGTCAGTGATCCCACGTTTTATTTCAATAAATTATCAGACATCCCACTGAGGACATAGCTCTGTCTTAGAGTTCATGAATAAAACATGTGGAGCAAAGTATAAAAAATGATCCCATTTATGTCAGGAAAGAGCTCAGAAAGATAAACGCTTCAACTAGCTTGGTGCGCCATCTAGTGGTGAGGTAACGCAACTACAGAGCAAAACCACATTTTCCAGTGAAGCTTGGAAAAAATACTGTTTTGCTCAAACAATACGTTATATTGTCTGCAAAAACTGAAAATGCGCATGAAAACCTTAGAAAAACATGAATGTTTCTGCAGCTTCATGTTACCTTCAAATTGATCATTAAAATCTGTATTTCTGATATTCCCACAGCAATTGTAGCGTTTTATACATGAGTCGACTGTTAAAATTGCTTTTGCAGGTACTGTTGTGTTTATGAAGACCTTGAAGAAACAATGAAGCAGCTATCTCACATATTTGTACTTTCCAGGGAATTAACCTTTGAGCAAAAGTATCCCAGTGTGGTGGCACACTGTGCCCTGCAGGTGCTGAGTGGGCATTAATCTCACAGCAGAACAGATCAAATTCATCAATCCTGTCTCCTTTTTCAAATTGTTCCTGTCCTTTATTAAGACCCAAAATCTTTTTTTATTTTTATAAAAAGTTAGCCCACTCTTGAAAGACAGTTATCTAAGAAATGTATTGCATAGATAAATGCAGATTTAGAATGTCTTGCATTGCATACGAGTCTCTGTGAGCAGTTTTCATCCCAATTTAATACAATTCAGGTAAGAATCTACATCGACTTCCTTTGCAAACTGTCTTTTTTTATTATCTGCCTTTTAAAAAATATACTGAATAAACATATTTTCCTATTTTAGTTGCAACTGTTCAAAATCTAAAGATTTTTAGCTTCAAATAACTTGATTTGGTTTTGAGTTTACCAACTTTAGTTTTCTTAATAGTACGTCTGTAGCATCAGACGTAAAGCTGATGTTGGTTACGTTTTACTAATGGTCACTAAATGCTGCCTGCTAAACAAAGCAATACAATAAGAGCACCATATGTTCATTTATAAGTGTGAGAAGAAACTATAAATCAAAACATTTTACTGACAGTCATTGTGTTATTTGTAGCAGCTTGTAGTGTGCTGGTAGTCAGTCTCAGTCTGAATGTTGTTACAAAAAAAATCAATAAATCAGTTTGGAAATCAGGGAATAACTTCTCAGCAGCTTCCTGTTCTCTTTCAATCTGGGGATAATTTAAGAACAGCTATGCTAACTGTTGGGTGCAGTTTTTTATATTTGTATTGTTTTATGTTGTAGAGTTTAGGGGAAAGTTTCATCTCTTTCTGCAGTCCTGCTACATTTCCATGTTTGTCCCTGAACCTCATTAGCAGCGGTGCAGCAGGAGTCACCTTCCTGCTGGTGATGACCTCATTCCTGCAGTTTTCTGTAGCACCAGTCGTTTGGGTCATGCTTTAGCTTTACATCTCAACAGCAGCACCGTGCTGCACTGGGAGCGTGGAATTATTGTATGCATTTTCTCTTAATAATATGGACAGAAATGAGTTTGTTTCTACAATGGTTTCTTTGAAGGTTACCTTCACATAACGAGAAAAGTCAAAGACCTCAAAGATTTCTCCTAGATTGCTACAATGTGCAGAAACTATTAGTTTTTAATGAATCAGTTTGATTTCTAAGTGGTGTATAAACTGCAACCACATGTAAAGAGCGACATTCAGGCTGTTGTACACGGTGAATATCTGATAAATAAATGCTTACATGCACATTACGTCAGTGTGTGGAAAGCTGGGTTTAGTAGAAACTTTCCTACTTTCAGTTATAATGCATAACTATGGCAACAATGTGCCAGGAGCAGATTAGCATCTCAAAAGCGCAAATACATGAACTTTGACCCCAAAGGAGTTGAACCAGAGGCTTCATGGATGCAGAGCAGAACCAGGGAATGGAGAAAAGCACAAAGTTCAAACAGTCTATTGATCATGCCATCCTTTGTCTCTCAGCTTTCTAACCATACGGCTGGACAGGGACAGAGAAACAGCAGAAGCAGAAGAGGCGGATTAACAGCTAGCCAACAACTGATGATGTCATCCAGATCATGTTACTGTGAAATATCTCTGCTGTCTGGAAATGGAGCTGTTAGCATGTCATAACGGTCATATAGCAACAGCCTTCAGTCAGAAGCCTTTTCAGATTCACTGCAAGACTGACTGCTACTGGAGATCCTTTCAACCCACAGGATTACCATCAACAGCGATGCTAAAGATACTGGGATGATATGAGTTACATCTCATTTCCCTTTGGGATTAGAATAGTATTTCTGAATTTAACTGCCTTCAAAACACCAGGTGTAATTTTTTTGTAACAGAATTACTGAAATAGATTATTTTTTTAGTCAAATTCTTATTTTTCAATGTACCAGTACAGGTTAGGTTTGCATTAAACATGGAAATAAATCGACACCAACACAAAAGCAACATCCTCTAATCCAGTTTAATTTCCTCAGCAGAAAAAAAAATAAGTGGAACATGATCAAATTAAGAGGGAAATAAAATAGGACAGAATTATGTTCTTGCTTTATACATTTAACTAAATATGCCACTCTATGCTAGGGTGTAAGTAACTCAAACTGATATACGGTTAAATAATTTTCTTCTTTAAAAAGGTACAGAAAGATAATCTTTTTTTTCCTGTTTCTCATCAACACTCAAAGAAAGAAAAACGCATGGAAATGAGAACCAGTCAGAACTTCTCCAGAACCCTCTCACACGTTGCTGCGTCGCCGTGGGAGACGGGAGAGGCGAAGGAGGGAAGAAATAATCCGGTTGTGCCGAGGGTTAGCATAGTAAAGTGGTGATGGACAGGTTTTCAACCCGCCACGCTGTAGAAGCTCCAGTTCTGCTTCGTGCTTCTTAGTTAATCCTACAACAAAACGTACAGCCCAGCATTACCCATGATGCATTGTGGGTACTGCTGCACCGTGCGGTTATTCCAAGCCTGTTTTTAACAGATTGCAACTTCAAACCTTTGCACGCACACTGGTGCCGAATGCCCAAATTAAGAACGAAGAGGAGGAAGAAAATGTCTGCAATGCCACAAACGGATACATGTTAGAAGAGTCTCTGAAGAACAGATGGAAAAACTGAACAATATGCACAGCACAAAGTCCGAACAGGCAGGCTGCAGAGGCCCAGTCAGAACCAACCACCAAATTCAACAATTCACCTCGTTTCTGCAGCCAAAACCACCTGAAGCATCATTAAAACACAGAATCAGATTAAATCTGAAACAGCTCAGCCAATCACAGCTGGTTGCTGTCATCCAGGTTCAAGCTGTTTTTTTTAATCCTGGTTTTCTCTGATGAAAAGAAAGCTCAGAAGCAGAAAAGGTGACTTATGCTAAAAAAAAAATATAAACATGAAATAAGATGCTAATTATTACATTCCAAACAGCTTCCTGCAGTCCCAAACACAGAACGAAGGAACTGCAGAATGATTTCAGTTCACTTCAGCACTAATGAACTCCAGATGCAGTTTTGGTGTCGAACACTTTCAGTGAAAACAAAATGAAGTTGCGACGCCGTCTGTGTACCACTCAGCGGGAGAAGAGGATCTGCTACAGGGTTGATCTGTCGGACTCCGTCCTTTAGTGTTTTTTTCCTCATTAATATTAATATTTATGATTTAGTCCAGGTGAGCCGAGGCAGGGACTGGCTGGGAGAAACAGAACGCATCACCGTCACGGCACCCAACGCCATGCGGTGGCGCTGTGACGCTGCGCGTGGACCGAAACGTCATGGAAGGAACAGAAGAAGAAGAAATGAGGAAGAGGAAGGTGGGTTACAGGTTTTACACTCCAACCCCCTGATGGCGACCTGAGGAGCGGCCGCGGGGCGGAGCCTGACCCCCCGCCGCGGCCGAGTCATGGAGGACAGGAAGAAGAGATGAAAGCAGGCCGAGCGGCGGAACCGTTCGACCGGACTTCCTGTGATGGAGAGAGAAACGGAGAGAAGAGGAGGAAACCATGGCGATGAGTCTGACTGGGTCCATCCTCTCCAGGAGGGGAGGGTGGGGTTAAGGCTGTGTGTGTGTGTGTGTGTGTGTGTGTGTGTGAACATGCTGAGCGGGGCCTGGAACAGAGCAGATGCTCCAGCACCGAGCTTAGATCCACGTTTATTGGGTCAGATGCAGGACGCCCTGCCCACCGGCCCCTCCCCTCCCCACCCCGTCTTCCTCCTCCTCTTCCTCCTCTGTAAGTGCCTGGTCTGTGGAGCGGGACGGCCGATCAGGAGCACTCCTCCCCGATGCGTTGGCATGAGCGGCCCACCTTGCGGTCCAGCTTCACCATCTTGAGCACGGCCTCCTCGCGCCCGCGGCCCAGATGGTCGAACAGGCAGTCGTGCTGCTCAGGTAGACGGTGCAGCATGCAGAACACGTAGCCTGGAGGAAACACGGAGCGCAGTGAGGCGGGAACGCCGCAAACGCTCAGAACGTTCCATGTTTTGTCACATAGACTCAGTTCTGCATGTTTAGGTTTTAACAAATGAAAAGATGAAAACTGTAGCGTTCATTTTAGTAATCAAGTATGATATCATCGAGTATATTATTGTGACAATTCAGCAAATTTTACACAATATTAGAAATGTATGAGGAAGTGCAAATATATAAATTTAATTCCATTTTTAAATGGAATACAATAAAAATGATATGACCAAAAAGGCTATTCGCCTTAAAGGATGAATCTGCAGCTAAAACTTTCAAACATGTGAAAAGCTCAGCCTTTTACCAATATAGTTTAGGCTGATCTGCTGACTCTTGTCAATTAAATGATTAATAATTTTAGACCAAAATAAGCTTAATGGGAGATTTTTTTCCACAGGATTTAAACCAGGTGAAGCTAAAAGTGAGGTTTTTTTTTATTGCATTTTAGGCATAAAATGTTTATTTTCTTACTTTAAAAATGAAGTAAATTCTTTTTCCTCTGCATGTTCTAATATATTTCTAATACTGCTTAAAAAAGGCTTCACTGGGTAAATGAAAAATCAGCAGAATGTGCTTTTTTCAGTCAGATTACTCGATTAATCTTGAGAATAATTAAGTGAATGAATTGTGTTTTATGGTCAGTGCTTCGTTTGTGTTGGGGTTCTGCAGAACTCACCACAGCGACATGAGCCCAGCTCCTGCTGCACCAGCTCTAGTTTGGTTTGGCAGCGGTAGCAGCGCCGGCGGTTCTTCTGTTTGGGCGTCCCGCGGCTCTCCTCGCCGTTCCCCTCCTTCTCTTCTGTGCGCGGCCGTTTCTCCGGCGTGGCCTCGCTCTCTGGGCTGGAGGCTGCAAACACAACCGGCAGGGTTACGTGAGTGGAGCTGGAAGTGGGGCAGCTCACGCAGGGCGGCGGGCAGGGAGGGGGCGGACGCCTACCTGATTCACGTGGGCGTTTTGTGGGTGTGCAGAGTGTGCCTTGGGCTGTTTCTGTGGACGTCACGCCTGCAGATGGACAGTCACAGGATGAGAGATGCATACAGAGAAATGACCTGCTTCCACTGCCAACAGCCTGCTGGAGGGGAAACAACAACATAATGATGAAAACTCGAGGTTTAACTGGTATGAAGGCAGAAGAGGCTACCTTCAGAGACCTGAGGATTCTGGTTGGACATGAAGCAGGAAACGAAGAACAACTCTTCATCACGTTACAGATCTGGATCAATGTTCTCACCTGATGCAGTACAACTTGTCCTAAAGATGCATTAAAGGGCCAGTCTGGACTGTAGAGTGCCCTCTGCTGTGAGCTTCAGATTTATTCCCACCCCTGCCTTACATATGTCCCATTGCCTAGCAACCATGACAGGATTAAGCAAGATGGTAAAAATCCAGCTCGAAATATTGAGGATCTTTATTTAATCTTTTCTAACTAATCAAATAATTTAAAAGTTTAAAAAATGATAAGCAACATGTCTATGTAAAAGCCTAACACAACTGATTCATGCTTTTAATTTGTGCATCGCTAAATTAGTAGAAGTAAATGTTTATTTCTACAGCATCTTTCAGACATATAGCTCGCAAAATGTTTCACAAAGGCAAAATGCAGGAATGAATGAATGAATGAATGAATTTGGACACACACGCGAAGTGTTTTCTGAATGATTTGCAGAGACAGATCTGATGAAGTGATGATCTGACCATCTCTATGTTCTCACAGAAAGCAAATGCAACTAAAATTTATTTTTTTGTCCATGCGCGACTTTTTCATGGCCGTCTGAACAGCTCAATTCTGATCTTTTCATCCCCCCGAAAAAATCCGATTTGAGCTCCTTTTATATGTGGTACTAAATCAGACATGCAGCTGATTATTTGCAAAAAATATTACATTTCAGCAAAAAATCTGAGTAGAGCCTCCAGACCAGCTGAACGACTTCTTCCTGTGATTTCTACCATCAGCCTCTCACAGTTTAGCTTTTGAAGCTAATGTTACATGAACCCCAAACGCATCAATCGCTAAATGAACGTTAAGCAGAATAAATTCTGACTTGTTAAGGTAAACTCAGATTAGCTGTTAGGGGACAGACATTTTGCTGCTGAAGCAGCCGTCTCTCTGAACTCTGCATGTCTGAACCCGGCTTCATGCTGGGACTTTAACTGAACTCTTTCTGTGAAAATGCTTCAAAGACTGGGAGCTGCTCCACCTAGTGTCCAGACAGAGTTTTACATTCAGACCAGCCGTGCTCTGTAGCTCTGCACTCTCCACAAACATCATCAGGTCCAGTCTTCCTTCCTTCATCACCAAGTCGTCAGCTTCGTTTTAGACACCAACGTTTCATTCACCTCTGAAGTTACTTTTGTAACTTCTACATTATCTAGTTTTAGGACTTGAAGCCTTAAAAACAGCTTGTTCAAACAGGTGAACAGGGTAACCATGACGACGTTTACCTTCTGTCCGGCTGGAGAACATGGCGGCTGACTCTGCGGCTGACGGCGGCTCCGAGCCGGGCGGCAGCGACAACGATAGTGACTCGCTACTGCTACTGCTACTGCTGCTGTCGCTGCTGAACACGGATGATTGGCTACTCCCGGGACTTTGGATTGGCTTGGAGGCGAGGTCGTCCTCTGGCTGCTTCTTCTGGACATCTGGACGCAGAGATGGAGGGGAAAAGCGTCACCACACTGCAATCTCAACTGTTAATGAGCCGCATTTATCCTGCCATGAAAAATTATTTATGCAGTAATAAAAAAAATGTGTAAGAAGAAATTTGCACAACCGTTCATGCAGCTTGCATGCCTTTACTTCTCCCTGCTGGAGAGAAAGGGTTAAATCTTCAGATCATTTGCTCTCAAGTCTAAGGCGACTTTCCTCATGCTGACCTTTGACCCAGTAGACTTGAACCTTATTGACTCAGCAGCATCTGAAGATCTCATATTAGATTCTTAAATAAAATCAGAATTTAAAAAAAGCCGCAAATAAAATCTAATTACCTAAACCAAACAAACATTCCTGATACCTGAATGATTCATTAACTGACTGATATGCAGCAGAAAAACTGATCATGTTTGGAAAACATTCAATATCTCTAGACAATTTTCAGTTCACATATTTGCCACTAAATATTTATTTAGTTCACTTTTTAATTTACCAGTTCCACGTCTTTTAGGATATTTGGTATTAACCTATTGGTAAATAAAACCAGTTAACTACAGATAATCTGAGAAAGTGATCAGATTTAATTGATCTTCAGTTTCATTGGAAAGATGAAAACTCAAAAACCTGATATTTTACTGATCAGTGAATGCCTCATATCATTTAAAGTCACCTAGGAGACAGGAACAACTCTCTTAAGTGCAGACGTTGTTACTGAGTGAAGAAGATTAAAAGTTACACATTTTCAATTCAGGAAACAACACTATTTGTGTTTTTGCCCTTTCAAATCAAACTTTATGTTTTACAACATAACACTTTAATAGCCAATTATTATTAATCATTGATTATGTCACGTTCGACACTCTAGACATTTCAAAATGAATTAATAAAGTGAGTGAAAGGATATGCAGGCAAATCTGCTTTTCTGCAACACGATGTCAACTATCTTGATAGAATTTTCCTATAAACATTTTCTAAAAACAACAAATGTTGTGAAAAGCAGCAATTTCAACATCTGGCCCAATGGGGGGAAACCAGCTCAGTCTGGCAACCCTGGAGGAAACATGGAAGAAACTGTTTAAAAGGAAACAAGTCAGGACATGTCTGCAGTTCATTCAGGCTTCAACAGAGAGTTTAGTAGATAACAGGAAGGCTGTTTGCAATAAAGATTGATTTATTATTTAAGGTTTAAAGATTTGTTCTGAAATGAGTTAAGACAAGGGAATATCCATAGATGCTGTCGTTTTAATAATGCTACCATGCTAACAGTGACGGTGTTGCTGGTTTAAGAAGCTAATGAATGTTTAAAACGTTGACTTCATAATTCTGTTTTCATCGTATGTCAGCAATTCAAACATGACATAACTCATTGATACTGACCAGTGCATCTCTACACTCCAGCTTAGATTTTCAGGTGGAAAAAAATAGTTTTCCTCATTTCCAAGTAACTTCCAGGCTGGTAGAAAAGCCCTGTGGTCACCTTGGAAACCAGAGCTTGGCCTCAGACTCTCCTGAAGCCTGCAGGTATTGTTTCCAGCCTGGCTGCTGAAGCTCAGAGTGGATGCTGGTCTGCAACAACCCACTTCTGCTTGGCTCCACACTGGTGTGTATTGGGTCTATTCTGAGCAGCGGCGCTGTCTCTGGTGGGAGCCTCAGAGTCGGGCCCTTAGGTCCTCTGTCTGCAGTACCCACTGGTTGCCATGGCCACAGACAGGGCTGCAGTGCATCCTCCATCCATCCGCCACAGCCAGACTAGAGAAAACTTCATGCATTTCTTAGCATGTTTAAACTTTAACTGGGGCTTTTCTCTGTCCAGGAAATGAGAGAAAATCTAAAAACAACCTTCTAACCGGAGAAACCCAGAAACCACAGGAGGAGTCCGGTACTTTTCAAACCAGTTTTAAAATTATCTACATGAGTCACATTTCATTATCAAGGAAATATTTTCAGCTTTTCTTCAATCAACTGATCTATGACTCAACCTCTTCCTTCAGTGACTTTTGCTTAGCTGGAATGGCTGTGGGTTGGGATGACAGAAACAAGAGTTTAAAACGGGAATCTGTCGTTTCATCAGCTCTGCTGCGGCCGTAACACGGGATCTGAACGCAGCGGCGCAGCGAACCGATGCAACGCACCCAACATGCAACCCACCCAACATGCAACTCACCCAACATGCAACTCACCCAACATGCAACTCACCCGCCGCATTCAGGGATTTGAATCTCTGCAGTAAATTGTGGCGACTGTAGTTAAGCAACAAGTGTTCATGCCAACCGCTGGAGAGAAACTAAACTCCAAACAAACACGTCCAAGAAGGAACTAACTAGTTTTATTTTAGATGTTAAATTATTCTGTATATTTACATTAAACTCTTACAGTTGAGAAGGTTTTGAAGCAAATATTAGTATTCAACAGAAATATCTTAATGTAATCAGGTCCACTCCATGCAAAAAAGCAGGAGAAAGCTTGAGGACAGTATCATTTACATGGAGGTTATTTTTATCTCAACAGTTTTTACTGATTTCAGTTTGAAGAGAAAGATTAAACATAACAAAGGTTTGAGGAAGAGAAACCAACATTTTCTGTGCAGCTTGGGGCGACTGCAACATCAACAGATTGATTCAGGAACTGCTTCATGTCAGTAAAACATGAAGGCCCCGCCCAGATAAGGATGTTTACAAGTGGCCAAAAAAACACTGCTTTTACTCCTCCACACCTGTAGGTGGTGCTAAACTTGGAGTATGGTAGTATAGCAGACAGCACAGAATGAGTGGAGGCTTTAGTCTGGAGAGATGGTGAAGTTGAACGTCTTCTCTGTCTCACATTGGAGTATAAAACTGTTGTTACGTTTGACAGGGTGTCCAAACTTTTAGACAAAATCTTCAACTCAAAAGTAGTCTTACCAGAAAAGTATAATTTTCAAAACACTAAAATTATTTTTTTCCCCTTTTCAACATTAAACTAGGCATAAACTATTTTAATTAAACAAATAAAGAAATCAATCATTTTGTAGAAACTTCAAAAGTTTTTTGCACGTTTTCCTTGTTAAAATTAAGGAAACCAGTTTGCTTATTATTCTGGGCTCAACTGAAGAAAACTGAGAAATTATTTTGTAAGTTCTCAATAATAATAAACAGGTTCTGGACCAGTCTTCATTTGGAAGCACTTGCTTTATTTAGCCAAGTTCAGAAACTGAAATTAAAAGCAAATTTGTTTCTTTAAAGTTTGTAGATTTGGTCCTATTTAGCATGAAACTGGAAACGAAGGCATAGAGCTTGGAAAATATGATCACTTTGTGTCAGCAAAAATGTTGGCAAGTAGATTCTAAAAGTAATAGTTTTGTTCTAATTTATTTAAACATATTCTTGAATTGTAGTCGATGGGCCACACAAGATCAGTGTAGGGCCAACAAATGGCCCCCAAGCCTCACTTTGAACATCCTTGGGTAACGAAACTTTGTTTTGTAAATATATTAAAAGTTCTTGTGTGGCGAGGCCTAAGAAAGCCCGCATAACAAGTCGACCTTACTGACAGGAAGGAGAAAATATAAGATACTAATTAAGTTAAATTCATTATTTTTTATGAGAAATTGTTTTTCCAGCCTACAAACTGTACTTCTTAGATCTGCTTTACAGTTTCCTGCCACCTGCTGTTCTCTACCATTACTGTACTGAAACAGTTACCAAGTAATAAAATGCAAGAACAATCTGGAACAAATAAAGCTGTTAGAAAGACTCACCAGCAAAACATTTGGAGCATAAGTTCATGGTTTTACTGGACCTGTAAGAACAGATAAAACAGTAACAGTTATTCAACAGCTCAGACGTCCAGAGTCTGTTTAAGAATGTGGAAAAGCTAAATTACACACTAAAGTTATGGTCATTTTTAATATGTTCATTCACAACAGGATAATAAATGGGACTAAATAAATACCTTCCTCTTTCATAAATGCCAGTGAGATTAAGCCCATTTTCAACATCTCAGATGACAGTTATCTCACATCCTGAGTGAAATATAACAGCTTTCATAACCTCGACAGCCAGGAAGCTTTATTTATATCAATAATATTTTGGAAACTGCTCCTTTGAGTCCCAGTCAAGGAAAGACAAACAGAAACACATAACTGCTGTTATACCAGATATTCATATGGCTGGATTCAACTAATTATGTCACAGTTATTGTTGCTTCATTTCAATCCACTGGCTGGCTGCTTTAATGAAGACAATGTGTGAAAACAGATGTAAATGTTCACCTTCTACGCGTTTTCAGTTGATGTCCCGACTGAACTATGAATCAGCATTAAAAGCTCTGATGTCAAGAACAAGATGGCTGTTCTTAGAAGAACATCTGCTCTGTTCTGGTTTTCCTCCAATGTTGAACCTTCATCTGCTTCCGTCCCGTTCTGGACACCTCGTTAGTCTCCATGACAACACTGAGGCGTTTCTGTCACCTGTCGCTCTTGTCGATGGGACACAAACTAAAACTTCATGGGATTTTCCCATCATTGTTCTTCCAACAGGAGTTTTGGTACTATTGCTGCAGGACGAGTAGGAAAACATTTCTGCTCTTTAACAGGGTGATGATTGTTTTATTTCAATATTTGTTTCACTAAGATTAAAATCTGACGCAAACTTGGCCTGAGAGGCTTCGCCAGTAAAATTCAGCCTGGAATGAAAACAATTTAAAACACTCCGTCGTCGTCTTCACACCTTGGAGTTCCTATTTTGAGACAACATAGTTAAAGTTTTTACCCATAAATCTATTTTATTTGTTGAAATTAAACCAAAGTTCACACAAATACATTTTGTTTCAATAGAAATACTGGAATCAGAAGCTCAGACTTAAAACGAAAGGTGAAATTTTAAATCGGGATTTGTGGATTTTTTTAAATCAATCTTTCATCTAGAACTAGTTATAAGAAAAAAAAATGCAAAAAATCCCAGATACACTTTCAATAAAATTATTTAAGTTACAAAAACAGATCAACAGCACTGACTCATAACACTGGTTACAATGATCACACAGATTATCTTTACTTAGATTCAACAATAGTAAAATACACATATCAGGTACATGTTCAAACTGTCCAGGAGAAGATAGGAAGTGACAATATTTCAAAACACTTTTAAAATCAAGATACAAGGTAGGAAATTGAGAAGGAAGCCAACACTAATGTTTATGGATTTTTAATGCCTTAAATGCTAAATTAAAGCAATCACTGAGAATGACTTGGTTTTAAAAAAATATCTCAAAATGTGATTTTCATGAGCTACAACAGGAACAGAGAGAAATCGGTCCATTTAGAAGCTGAAAGCTGTTCAACAGGATCTAAAATTAAACAGTTTTTTTTTTTTTTTTTGAGGGACAATGTTAAAGGTTAACATCCATTCCTGTAAGGAAGGTCCTGTTCAGAGCTGAGTGCAGCCAGAAGGTTTGGTGGGTCAGGCCAGCCTGCGGCTCCAGGCAGGTGTTGTTCTGAGTGGAGGCAGCCAGAGTCATTAACACTCAACGGTACCATCTGGGTCACCTGACATTGACAGGTGGGCTCCGGTTTGCCAACTACACCCAGAATACTGGGGTGGCTGCTTCCCAAATGACAAGTCATGTGACAGAACATGGGAGTATCTTCCTGTCTGGAGGTGGCCTCCATTAATCAGGGATAAAACGGTGTGTGTGCCTAGTAATGAAACAGAGATAAGCTGAGAACACTCTGTTTCTATCTAGTGTTACAATGAGTTGTATAATGGTGGAGAGAAACAAACTGACAGTCGTTTGTGTCGCTGTTGAATAGATTAAAGATCATATGAAGTCATTTCTCCTATGGGGCAACACAGCAGACATGAGTGAATCACATCCGGTATGCAACACACATCCACTAGTTTGACAAGACCGACTGTAAAAACGGTTGAAAATGCTTAAAGGCTTTTTTGAATGAAGGAATTGTTTACAATATATGCAAAAGCACCTGTTAATAGTTTTATTTTTATTTCTTTTGAAGGATTAAGGACAAAATGGCACGTTTAAAAGAAACCTGCTGGCAATAAATCATTCTCTCTCTCGGGTACGTCATCTCCTGGCTTCACGAACGGATTTAAAACACCATCTTTGTAAAGCGAAAAACAAAACCCAGCACCGGAATTAGATTTATCCATCATGTATCCATACATGTAATTAAATTTAGTTGTTTTAAAAGCGATAACCTGTATTTATTAGCCAACTTCCCAACCCCCCACCCTCGGCCTGCTCGACAGAACAACAACAATGGGTTTGAACCCGCTGAGAACATTTCATCCGGATTTACTTTTCGGTTATAGATAGAGGGTTTAATCTAGTTTATACCGGCTCAAACACTTACCCCCAAAATCCGCAGGGACACCGGGGAGGTAGAGAGGAAGCTTTGCTCCGTTCACTTGTGTCTCCCATGACTTCCAACAACCCCCAAAAAAGCCCCAATATGGAAACGCAAGGCCGGGGATGAGTCCGGGGCCTGGTCCTTAAACGAGGAAAACGGTTCAACAACCAAAAGAAACAAAACAAGACAAAGGAAGAATGTTGGCTTCCGTTAAAGTCCACAATCCGAGGAGGAAGGGCGGTGAAGGTGATCCGTTTCGGCCGTTGGGAAGAACAAACGGCTCGGTTTGAAGTGGAATAATTGAACGGTACTCAAAGCAATCAGCTGGACATTCGGACGTTTCGATCGGCGAGCGGAATGAGAAATGGGGGGGAGTCCCGGTGCTTTACACCGCACCGAAAAACGGGAAATGACCACCAGCCGTCCGGAGAAACAGATAAAACACAATTATGGCGACGTTAAATACGTGGGAGGGTGAGATAAAAGAAAGAAAAAATAAATAGACCAAGGCCTTCCCCTCACAGCGGCTCCGGACCACCCCCATTCACACGTCGCTGGTACGTTGCGTTAGGCCGGAAACGCGTCCATCAAACCAGAAATGTCAATATTGACCGAAGACACAAAAGCAGAATCAAGCAAGAAACTGAAAATTACACGATAAAAACCAAATTGAGCAGGAAATAAATGAAAATATTTTACTTTTTTTTTATGCAGCTGACGCCAAATAAGGCGAGACTGTGAAAAGGTCGGCCTAGTGGCGATTATTGGCTTTGCTGTAATCTGTTTACCTGTGTAAAACTCAGAAAGTTTTAATCAACTAAATCAAACTAATTTAACATCAAGATATTTTAAAAATAAGAGTTTGATGTGTTTTGTGTGGTTAAGTGAGTTAAACTATAAAAAAAAGTTTTAAAAAGGTTTTTAAAATCCATTTTAAAATTTATTCTGCAAAAACCAAGGAGAAAGATGGAAGATACAATGGAATATCAAACTTTTTTCACGTGAAACTACTCCATTGAATTTAGGTGGAAATATAGATGATGTCACTGAACCTTCATGTTGCCAAAGATAGAAAGAAATGGTAGACAATGCATTTCCTTACAGCCATTTGTAAATGTGTTACTAACTTCACTTTGCACAAGTAGGATTTCAGGATTGTTGATGCATCCGAAACTTTCACCCATGTTTTCAGTCGCCTTCAGCCAACACTTGCAACACAGGACCCATGGAAGTAGGGGATGGGCAGACATCTGGAGGTTTCACAATGGATCCACGCTAGTCATAATGATGCAGGATTCCTCTGGGTAAAAAGTGGGACCCATGTGGGTCCAAAATGTGCTGCACAATTTAAAAAAAAGAAAGAAAAACTGTTCTGATACCCATTTGAAAGAAAAAGCCACAGTGAGCCATTCAAGTTTCAAAATCAAAGATTATTAAAAGTTTAATGACAACAACCTCTCATTAGGTAACATCAACGTTGTCTAATGAGCTAACAGAGCATTAGTGCCTAAAGCATGATGAACACATAGTAACTAATCAATCAGCACAGCTTGTTCTGTAACAGAAGCTTTGAGGACTCAGGAGATCGAGGTCACTGCATCGCCTGTATGAAAGACGTCACCTACAGCAGCTAACGGCTAACAGCAGCTTTCCACACGGGCACAGCAGTGGGACCCCTTCACAGAAATCACAACCAGCATTGTCAGTTGATCTCCAAAAATTAAAAATCACATTATGGAGAAGCAGTTTGTAGAATGATGAGTGCAGAAACACAACCAGCTTCACTGATCAAAAGTAATATATGCAAAAAGCTAAACTAGGAAAATTCATAAAACTATGGGAAATCATCTCTACCGTAACATAAACAGCCCTATTTTGTTTAGTTGCTGAGGAAGACTTTAACCAGCTAATCAATCTTATACACTGCAAAGAGGAGGCAGAAAGAGAGAAAACTGCGCTAGTTATTTCTCATAATACAACACTGAACAAATCTAATAAGATTTCTTTAAACTCAAAAGTGCAAAACTTCAATGCACACAAGAAAAAAATAAACACAGAACAGCTTATTTAAATAAAACTTCAAACAGAAAATCCTACAACATCCCCCAGAAACCACTAGGAGTTTAAATTAATTGTTCTTACAAATAGAGAGACAACCAATCAGAACTCTAGAGCTGTAATTCAGTCAGATAATCCAATCTGCAAACTTTATTTCTGTGTCCTAAAATAAAGTGCAAACAGCAGCTGCTTATATTTCCAACTCTTCACATCAGGCAGCCCTAGTGCATACATTAATTTGGTCCGAGCTTCTGAGCCCTGATTTATGCAAACTTAAACCCCAATTATTTATACTAAGCAACTTAAATGCTTATAACATTCATCTATGGTGTGAATTCTTATCAAAAGTGGCACCAGATATCAGCATTTGCCTCGTTTAGGGTACGAAAGCCTGATATTCAAATTCTCAGTTATTACTCAATATGTAAATGCATAACACGATTAAGTTTTATTTGCACCTAAAAAGCAACAAGATGCTTTTACTTCCCTGCTCTGGTGGGTTTGTCTAAGAATGAGCTTTCAACTTTAAAAAATATATGATTGAAACTCTGTTATGTTTATGGTAAGAAAAGTCAGTTGGATCTGTTTTTTTAAGACAAATTCCTAAAAAATAGCTTGATAAGGATTTAATCCTTTGTTGTTCTTCAAAGGTATTAGTATGAATTTATCAAATTCACATAGCTGTTCCCTTCCCTACCTGGTCTGACTGCTTCTTTTAGTAGTACAGCATAATCATGTCAGCGTTTGCCTCGTCGTTGAAGAAAAAAATAATAAATCGGACTTCAAGATTCTGAAAGGATAAAAAGTACCTTCATAAAATGTACGTGTACATTTAAACCACGTTTCAGTCAGAAAACTGGGAAGACAGAAGATATAAATAAAGTATGAAGCCACAGATACACAGATCTCTACTGCTGCACACATGACAGAGGGATGATGGACTGGAACAACGAGACAATGGACCTTAGCAGCATCGGAGCAGTGCAGTCTGGATGGTGAAAGCTGTGCAAAATGGCATTTGGAGGTCTGAGAGCTTTTAATGGTGGGACTGTGAGGAAGAGGATGGAGAGGAGGAGGAAGGCTGGGTGGGCATCAGGCTGTGTGTGCGTGAAGGTCGCTGGAGTCGCTGCTGCTGGTTGGCAGAACCAGAATCAAACAAATCCAAAAGCGGACTGCCCTCGGTGACCTTCATGTCCAGCTGTGCGGGACACTCGAAGTGGACGCAGTGGAAAACCTGCAGACACGTTCAGACAGAGGACAAAACACAGCAAACATCCTGAGATCTAGTTCAGATTTAAACGATCTGCACTGGCAGCAGAGACACCAGGCACAGGGAGAACAGGATAATTCTCTAAAATGTTAAGAAAGCAGATTTTTAACTGCTCAGGTACCTCGTTAGCAGTGTTATGGGTCCCAACGATGCGGACGAAGGAAGCAGGCTGATTCTCAAACTTCAAAGTCTGCCATGATCTGCAACAAATGTTAAAACAAATAAGTTTTACACTGTCCTACTTCAGGATTGAGTCAACAGATCACAAATGTTTTCTTTCATTTATATTTGCAGAAAACGATCCAGTTCAGGAAAAACCCAGAAAAATCTGGTGTGCTTAAAACACACCAGAAAATAAAAAAGTGATGCGTGACCAGAAAACCTCTAATGGTTGCAGTTTGGGAGGAAATGACATCACTACAACATTCTACTGAAGAACCCTGTTTGTTAGGTTTAGCATGATTCTAGTTTCTCATTTAGAAATAAAAAACAATGTAACCTAGTTGGCAATCAAACATGGCACAATTCTGTAGAGACGCCCTCTACTGGTGGTACTATAGAGGTGCATGCTACTGAGAGCGTTATGAGTCTTTGTAGTACTGCATACAAGGACCTTGCCTAAGGTCCTTGGCCCAATTTCAAGGCATTAAATTGCAAAGTCATTTTTAGGTCATACTTCATGTGCATACATTTTTTATAACAACTGAAGGTAACATAGTTACTTGATTGCTCTATAAAATGGCACTGTGTGCCTGGAAAATACATGACACCGCCCCTTTAAATAACTTCAACAACAAGAAAAAAAGTTCAAACAAATAATTTTAGACAGTAAATATCTGCATTTTAGAAGAAAATTTTGTGCCATTATGAGAAACTTAATTTTTATGCAGCGATTCAATCTGTATTCTTACATTTACTCGCTCTTTGTTTAATTGTTTAACATTACATTAAAAGGTTAAATCCATGACAGCTTCAGATAAAACCGAGTCCTGCTGATGTTTAGCAGGATTTGGAGCATTAAGAATGAGAAGTTCCTCACTGGCAGGAAACTCTGGTGCAGTCGACCACCTTCGTCCACTGCTGCTGATTGGTGGAAACTTCAATGTAGTAACTATAGGAACGCTCGTCACAGTCCCAGAGGAGCAGCCTGGAGCAACACAGGGAAACATAATCAGTAAAGTCAGATTTACTTTAACATACAGAATGAAATGAAATGTGAGCTCAAAGTCTGTAATACAGATTATTAATATCACTCACTCCTCAGTTTACACTGCTAATATTAAGACAAGACATGAGGAGGCAGTGAACAATACCTAGTTTTATGAATCACTTGTATTTCCTCAAAATCTCAAAAAAAAAAAAAAAAAAAAAAACCCTTAACCTGATTTCTTTTATTAAAAAAAAAAAAAAAA